CTTTACCAAGGATCCCTGGGATCACCCAAATGCTCCCCTTTTTTGTCTCAGTTCACTCCACAGTGAATGGAAAGACAGGAAGCTCAAGGGTGGCATGGGCGGGAGCAGCTTCCAGGGCAGAATCCGTCTGTCAGCGCTGTGTTCCCAGCACTCGGTGCCTTGCAAGCCTCACTGTACTTTTTAAATGAATGAAACTAAGCCCCACCAGGGAGAGCTTGTATAGCTTGCTTCTGGGTATATTCCGGCCGATGGTGAGGTAGTGAGGGCATCTTCAGAGCCAATCTGCTCTCTGGTGCTTCACCTTGTGTCTGCCCTGCCTCTCTTACAGCCCTCTCTCAGCTATGGAAATGCAGGGGCCTGTGTTTTTGTTGTGCTCTATAATGTAAAAATCACTCCATGAGGCAAAAGTCCTGACTTCTAGTCCTGGCTTAGTACCCAGTTAGCTGTGTAGGCTTCTGCAATTTACTTTACCTCTCTGGGCGTGGAGCTAAACAATGACTCCCAAGGTATCTACAAATTCTGACTTTCTAAGGATCGTTGCAAAGGGAAGATTAGTATCATTATCATGATTTTTTACTAAAATGCCTTTCCAAATGCATTTTGTGCTTCATTTCTGAGAGGACATTGAAGAAAGTCCCATGTCTAGCAAGAAAGGAGATTCACTCCTAAGACTAAGATCAAGAACAAGGGATGTTGTCTTCAACCATTTCTACTGTACAATACCAGAAGTTCTAGTGAGAACAATTAAACAAGAAAAATAAATAAGAAGTATTGGAAAGGGAGAAATAAAATTATTACTGTTTGCAGGTAGCATGATATTTTACACATACACAGTGAACAAATTCGGTAAAGTTGAACAGTAAGAAATCAACTCCAAAATCAGTTGTGCTTCTGTAAAATGAACAATCTGAAAAGGAAATTAAAGAAACAATTCAGTTTATCATAACATGGAAAATAAAATGTGTAAAGACTTAATTAAGAATGTGGAGTGAGGCTGGGCATGGTGGTGCATGCCTGTAATCCCAGCACTCAGGAGGCTGAGGCAGGAGGATCGCTGTGAATTCGAGACCAGACTGGGCTACATAGTGAGTTCCAGGTCAGTCTCAACTATGTAGTGAGACCCTACCTCAAAAAAACAAAAAAAAAAAGAATGTTGAGGACTTGTTTATGATAAATTACGAACATTACTGAAAGAAATTGAAGGAGGGATAATAAATGGAAAGGCATCCCATATTTATGAGTTGGAAAATATAAAATTATCAGGATGACAGCATACCCAAAGCAACATCAACCACAGCTACTCAATGAAACCCTTATCAAAACTACAATTACATTTGTAGGTCCTTGGGAAAACTCGTATTAACAGTCACATGGGATCTCAGGAGATCCCAGCCAGTCTAAACAAGTGAGCCAACACTACAGAGCTTCTTGGAGAAAATAGGAGAGAAGCTTCAAGATACTGGACTTGGCAATGGTTGCCTTGGTTTGACACAAAAGCACAGACAATGAAAGAGAAGAAGATAAATTAGATTGTATCAAAATTAAAAACTTTTGTACATTAAAGGGCACTATCAAGAGAAGCACCACACAGAATAGGAAAAATATGTTCAAATGATATATAAGATAAAGGATAATATCCAGATTATATAAAGAACTACAATTCAACAACCAAAAGTCAAGCAATCCAGTAGAAAAGTCAGTGAAGGACTTGAATAGACATTTCTCAAAAGAGGACCTGCAAGAGGTCATCAAACACATGAAAAAGTACTGTGTCACTAGGAAAACGCAAATCAAAACTGCCATGAGACTCAGTGCTACACTCATTGTAATGGCTGTTATCAACAGCAGATGAAATTATTCTTTTGTATCCGGAGTCAAACTCAGGACCTTGTGCTTGGCAGGCAGGTAAAGCACCACTGAGCTAAAGCCCTGGCCCTGCAGTGGAATATTATTCAGCCAGAAAAAGAATACATTTCTACCACTTGCTATGTCTTGAAGCCACTGTGCTAAGTAAGCAGACAGAAAAGGATGAATACTGTTTGCTTCTATTTGTGTAAGTTGTCCAGAGCAGTTTGGTTCATGGAGACAGGAAGTAGATGCGATTGGAGGTTAACAGCAGCTGGAGAGGGAGGAGTGGAGGTTTCCTGGGCAGTGGGTGCAGGGATTCTGCTCCAGGAGACGGATGACAGATAAATGAGATCAAAAGCATAGACTGCGTCCTTACCCACGGTTAAAATAGTGAAGTGGCTTAAACATGTATTTACCACAATAAAAAAATACAAAAAGAGATCAGCTCCGGAGAGGAACTCAGGGTCAGTGATGTGCAGGGGGCAACCCTGCCCCCCTGGGGACTGATTCTTTTCTCCCACCAGCCTGCTGGCTGCAGGTGAAACTTACGCGGGCTTCACAGAGCCTGCTGTGGCCCTGCTGCAGCTGTGGGAAGTCAGGAGGGAGGCAGGAGGAAAGCTTTCCCTCCCTCTGAAGGAGGCAGTGTCAGGGGACGAGGCCTGTGGGTGGCCACCCTGCCCTGTGGGGCTCCACTCTCCCTTCAGCCCCAGACCTGCCTGCCCAGCACCAGAAGGAAGGCCCAGAGCAGACTGCAGTTCCCACAGGCCTGTGTGGCCATCCCAGCCCAGGTCACCCCACTGACTGTGCCTCGCTAAGTGAGTTCACCCCCTTGGGCCTCCATTGTTCCTTTGCCTTCAGACCCAAGGACAAGGGCTAAGTATCCATTCCCGGGCCAGCCCAGAGTGTCTTGGAGCCTGCCCAGCACAGGCCTTGTGTCCCCATGGCCCGTGGATGCCTGCTCTCGTCTTTGTGGAACTCTCGCCTCTCACTAACATGGGCTCCCACTCCCCACCCCAGCCAAGCAGCTGTTGCTCCTCATCCCTCTCTGACTCCTAACACAAGGCCATTGTGCTGACAGACTTTCCCAAGAGCCGGGGCCTGCTGGCCAGGGGGCACCAGGCAGAGAAAAGACCTACACTGAGGGCCGATACCGCTGTTCTGGTGACTCACCAGCCCTCCCCTGGCACGGAGTCGTCTCCACTGGCCATGACCACTTAGTTCTGCACCCCCACAGGCTGCCAGGACTCTCTCTGATGACCCCGGGACCCATCTCTTCTTCAGGGCCTCAACACCTGTAACTTCCAGATAGTCATCTGATAGCTCAAAAAGCCATTTTGCTTCTAACTTCCTCTGCACTCTGAGCTCTGAGCTCTATTTCTCACTGTGCCTCTAAAAATCCCTGTGATGAGCCTTCTTAACCCCCAGAAGTCCCACCATGAGGTACAGAAAGAATCAAGGAAACCTCTGAAATCACACTGTTTTTCATTTAGGTGGGATCGAATCTCAGGAAAGCTGGACTCATCCACAAACCAGGGACACCCTTGAGGCCTTGGACTTTTGCTTCCCATTGCCAATGTTTTCCTGGGTGTTAGTAAAGCTGTACCCAGGGACTCTGGCCCTCTAGGCACTATGAGAACTCCCCCAGGATGAGAGCTGCTGGGCTGGGCTGGGTCTTGGCCGTGGAGGGGCAAGCCGGGTACGGCAGTGCTACCCTGAGGAACCAAGTGCTCGGTCCTCCAGCTTGTACATGCTGAGACTCTGGGCATGACAAGTTCAGACTACAGATATGAGTAGGTCAGGAAGAAAGGAAACCCAAGAAGCAGAGGTTCTGGAGAAAGAGCACATCATTGCCAGTTTGGGGAAACAGGGAGAGGTCACCTCGGGTCTGCCTGAGTAATCCAGGCTTGGCAGCCGTGTTGGACATGCAGGTGGGTGGAACAGGGTCAGAGGCACAGAGACAACCTGTGCACATTCGGAACTGCGAAATGCAAAGGGAGCCATGATTGTTTGGGGGGAAGGAGATGCTATTCAAGAAACAAAGCTGAAAAAAATGCTAATCCGCACAGAAGAGATTAAACACATTCCCTACCTCACATCGTAGGAAAGCAAACCATTCATAATGACTGAGCTGTAAAAAAGAAAACATACACTGTTTTAACCTTCAGTTTGTATATTCTAAATTCAGTAGAACATACATCTTTTACACCATGGGGCAGAGAAAGATTTCTCAAACAAAACACAGAAAGTGTTGGAGGCGTTAAAGCCAAAAATATCAAATGATGTCTTAAAGAAAATGAAAAGATGAGGTAAGGCAGGTTAGATAAAAAAATGTGTAAAGGACTCCTACACAACAGTAAGAAATGAAAGCAGAAAAGAGATCAGGTGGATGTTCCACACAAGAGGAAACACAGATGATAAACAAACCCTCCAACTCAGTGGCATTCAGATTCCTTAAGCTGAAGTGAGTTAAAAGCGAGCACAGGCTGAGGAGGCAGCTCAGTGATACAAGAGGTCTGGCTTGGGGCCCTGGTTCAGTTCCTGACACCAGGCGGCGGGGTGGGGGGCGGCTAACCAAACCAAGTGTAGGTCAGCATATCTTTCACTGCTCCAGGCTCATAAATGGTCGCAGCCACTCAGGAAAAGGTGCCTGTGTGAGGTTGCTTTCCATTACTCTTGTGAAATCCCTGAGCCTTGGAGCTTACAAAGAGAAGAAGTTTATGTAGCTCACGGCTTAGGAGGCTGAACACGAAACAGCATGGTGCCTGCGTCTGCCTGGCTCACGCGTGGCAAATTGTCACAGTGGAGCGCAGCCAGCAGAGGGAAAAGACCATACGCCAGGGAGGAGGCAGAGATGGCTGGGGGCCCTGGGCCTGCTCCCCGTCACAGCTGTCTCTGGAGGACCAGCTGGTCCCAGAGAGCGAAGAGTCTTCTGAGGGGCCCCGAGTGAGCATCCCGCTCAGTGTAGCATGAAGCACTTTACAGTGGAAGAGTACACAGTCTTTGAAATGTCAGAACAGATGCAGCTCTGAGGCACCCACTGCAGGGACAAATCAGGCTCAGTTTGGACAACACAGTCAGGGCAAAATTAAATCCCACAAAGCCCATGACAGTGATACAGTTTTAAAAATTAAAAATGAGTAATAAAAGTCTGTATTTCCTGGGGCACATATAAGTAGTGACCACAGCACGGAAATGGGCGTCTGAAACAGTGTGCCTTCTCCTTCCGAGCCGAGGCTGGTGAGGGATGAGGGCCGGTGCCTGGCACAAGGAGTAGAAACAGGGTCCACATAGCAGCGCCGGCCCACAGTGGTGCACCCTGAAATAAGCACGATCAGCCCGGTGGGCTCTGGGGGAGGAGTCCAGAATTTGGGGTCCCAAAGCTGCTCCAGTGGGGCTGTGAAACCGCTTGCTCTCCCCAGTATTGGCACAGATCCGAGGAGTGAAAGTCTTTCCCCTTTCTTGGGAGTGGACAGCTTGCTGCATCCCTCCTAACCCTTGGGGACAAGTGACAGTGCTGGTGGAGACAGGTTCTCTTGGTGCAGCTCTGCCTGGAGCCCCAACTTGCACTCCTGTCACTCGAGGCCCAACTTCCAGTGTGTCCTTGCCCTGCTTTGCTGAGGGCCCTGAAGGTAGCCTGGGGCTGCATCGTGCTGGCTTGGCCTCTGGGGGCTGTAACTGGGCCTAGCACGCATTACAGGGCCCCAGGGAGAGGCTGCTTCCCACCTCGGTCAAAGGAAGCCAGATGCAAACTTATATCACCAGGGCTTGGGGGGGCCTGAGACAGAGCACTGTCACCTCTGTGCCCCAAACTGTCTTGCGGGATCTCTGCACTGTCATCCCATCTCGGCGTCTTCCCTTCCTCCTCCCCGTCCTCGGTTTCCCTCCCTCCCCTCTCCATTCCCCTCCCCTTCCCTTCTTTCCTTTTCTTTCTTCCCTCCCCTCCCCACCCCTTTTCCTTCCATTCCTCCTCTTCTCTTTGGGGCTCAGACCCCACATGTAGATTTCCACACACGTGGGGGAGCCTAGTCTCCTCTCCTCCTCGCTGCTCCCCTGGCTTCCACACAGACCTCAAAATGCAGAATGACAGCCACGTCCCAGAGGTCTCTTCTCTGTGCCCAGCTTCTCGGCAGCTCTTCAGGGACCTGGGCCTCTTTGCTCGCTGTCCATCTTCCTTCGGGATGAGCTCAGCTCATCAGTGTCTCTTTTAAAACAGGACACTGGGAATTAAGTCCGCGCGTCAGGAGAAAGATCCCGGTGCTGCCCCATGTTCCTTTGCAGACCCAGCGGGAGTAAACAGCAGCTGCCTCAGGAGACCTCTTCCAGGGCTGTTCACCGGCTTCTGAAGATCAGAGACTAAATAAACACCAGGAGGACACACATCCCCAGGGGCCATGCAGACGCCAGGGACCTGGGCCATAGCAGTGAGGGTCAGCGAGTCATTGATCGAAACACGTGACAGCAATTGCCTTACTGAGCACCCTTCCAATGTACTTACTATTCAAAGAGTTGAGCACCTTCACACAGGCTCGTAGCCTTGTTTTTGGCCATATGGAAGGAAGCCCTGTGACTACAGCCCATCCTCTCCAGCCCTACGGAGCTGCAAATCTACTTTTTTGTCTCTGGAATTCTCTTTAGGTCACGTGAGAGGAGAACTGTGATGCATTGTGTGGCTTGTCCGGTTGTCCATATGGGAAGCTGGGGCTGGGACCAGTCAGAAAACTCACCAAGCTTCGAGGAAATGCAGATCGCAGAGCCTTGAGCCCCTGCCTGCAGCGCTGTTGAGTGGACCTGGGCAGGTCAGGTCATCTTTCTGGTGTCAGCTGTACACCCAGACTGCAGTGGCTGCCTCCTCCTTCCTCCCAGCTGGGGCTGTTTCTGGTTTCTGGCCTTGCTCAGCACCTTGACCAGCACTGTTGGAAGGTTAAGGTGCATGCTGGTCTGCTCACAGGCAGGCCCTGAGGTGCGGCTAAGTGTGCAAGGGGTCTAGAGGGGAGGGAAGCTTGGGAGAGAAATGAGGAGGGAGCAGAATGGGCAGGAGGATCACGAGACCTGGAGCTAGCAACACCTCAGCCAGCCCACGTGGTCACCCCAGCCCTGGCTGCCCAGATGGAGAGGCCCTGGGCTGGGCGCTGGAGGTGCTGCTACTCAGCGATTTCTGCCAGGTCTCTAAGACACGTGTGGCTCCTGTAAAGGGGCTGAAGCACCCACCTTGGGGTGTTAGGCTGTCCACGTTCCCCAAGCGCTGGGTGGCAGAATCTCTGAGCAGAGCACGTCCGCCCCTGCAGGGAGGAATTGGAAAGGGGGGCACCCTACAGGAGTCAGTTAGTGCTGGACCCGCTCAGGGAGTTGCTGGGGATCCAGTGAGGGCTGGAGCCATGGTCTGTACACTGAAGAGAGTCATGGCCCATCTCCCATGGCCCCCATGTTTGTAGCTTGTGTTAGAAAAGCCTGGTTTGTCACCAGGCTGGGCAGATTGTGCGGTCTTAGCCTCAGTGGGAATAGGCAGCTCCTCCAGCACAGTCCATGATGTTCTTTCTAAAGGGACAGAGACCTCTGGTGATGTCATCACATCACTGCCACCCTCGCCTTCTTTGTGAGGTCATTGTCCCCAGCACCAGACAGCATCCGTAAAATACCATAGGCGCTGTGATGAGCGACAGCCTTACAGGTCAAAGACAAGGTTCCGAGCACCTGTCTTCCGGACACCCCCACATTGAGGGTGATCACTAACTGGGCCAAAGGCAGTCAGCCCAGCGAGTTCGGCCCTGCTGTGCCTGGCTTCTGTTTTCTGCTGTAACGAGTGATGCCATGCCTGCCTCTTCCCCTCCCGGAGCCACAGAGATTTGAGGCACTCGAGGCAGCCCAGCCTCCCAGCCCTTATCACACCATCTTCCCCTGGGCTTTGAAACCTCTTAAAAGTCCATCACATTTTCATCAGGGAAAAATTGCCCAGAGAGACTTGGCTGCTGCCAGCCCCAATAGGAAGCTGGATCCGGCCCCACATTCCTCCTCTACCACAGAGTCGTTGGTCCAAAGAGATCACAAGGGTATCATTTTTCTGGCCGATCTGCAGTGAAGTCTGGGTGAAGGCAAGACAGGAGGATCTGCTCTGCGTCCTCCTGCCAGGCCCAGGCACAGTCATCACAGCCTCCCTCCATGGCTGGCTGTCTGTCTGACTGTCCATCAGGGTCGCTTCATTTGACCCCCTCAAAGAGGATTTAACCTCCCTGTCAGGGAGCACAGGAGGCCCAGACAGCCCACCCTCATCCCAGCAGGTGTGCGGGGTGGGGCAGGAGAGCTTCGCCCACAGAGACCCCATGTCCGGCTTCTTAAACAGTGTGAGCCTGAGGAGCTTGGGTGGTGAGGCTCCTGGAGCCCGTTCTCCCACACACTGATGTGTGACCCTGGGCAAATGCTGTCACCAGCCACTAAGAGCCTGGTTTCCTCACCCATCAATTAGAGACAATAGTTTCCACTCTGCGGGGCTGCAGGAGAGCCTGAGGTCACACAGAAAGCACAGCACTCAAATGGTAATTATACTATTATTTTTTCTGCTATAAATTCCACAAGGAGCTGTTGAACAAGCACTCTTCATTCAGTCATTTGTTCAAATATCATTTCATTCATAAAATATTTATGAACTCTGGACCACATTGGGCCCCACGGAGGTTCTACCAAGAAACAGAAAGCAGAACCCACAGCTCAAACCTGAAAACAGTAAGGGCTGGGATTTAGCTCAGTGGCATTGTTCCTGCCTCACAAGCACAAGGGTCCTGAAGTTCGATCCCTGATCTTCTGATCCCTGGTACTACAACAACAACAACAACAACAACCAAAACCTGAAAACAATAGACAGAGCTCAATTTTTTTGTGTATTTGTTTTTTGAGACAAGGCCTCCATAGGCAGTTCAGGCTGGCCTTGAGCTCATGTTGATCCTCCTGCCTCAGCTTCCCGAGTCCTGGGATTATAGGTGTGCACAACTATACCCGGCCTCAAATTTCTAAATGGGGATGATCAGACCTCCTTGCTGGTGCTGCTGGAGAGTGGAGTGAGCTAAGCCCGTGAGGTGGGGAGGCTACCAGCCTGCAATTCTGTCTACACAGCCTCAGGGGTGGGTTCAGAGCCCCACAACTCCCGCTCTGAGGTTGTGATGCTTAACCTGTAAGCCCTTCACCCACACGGGCTTCCTCCAAGCCTCTGCACCCAGTTTTATTTTTCATTCTGCACAAGGTTCAGGACACAAGAGCCTTGGAGAATCCTTCATAGCAGCTGGGTTGTAAAGTCAGACGACAAAGTAGACATGGACATAGGCATGGCTTACCTTGCATGCCTCCAAATGTCGGGGCCACGCACGTCGGGCTGCACAGTTAGGACCCCTTGAGCCTTGAGCAAAGGTATTCATCAAAGAAGCGGACATGGAGCAAGGATCTGGACGTGGGAAGCTACAGCACCTGACAGAGGACACAGGAGCAGGTGGTGAGGGGGACAGGAGGGCAACCGCTATCTTCCTGGAACATTTGCTTATGAAAACAGCAGGTCTACTTTGGTCTCAGGGTCCCCACTGCTTTTAGATTGGAGGTGGGGTGGCACACCAAGCTGGGAACACAGGAGGGAGCACCCCTCCCGCTGGGCACCCCCTGGGGCTCCTCTGCTGGGCCCCACCCTTGGGTGAGTAATCAGCAGGACAGAGCTTCCCCTGTGAGGCCAGGCTCAGTAATGTGCTCGAACACCTTGGCAGCGTTATTGCCGGGGATGATAAGGGGAATAATGAGTGAGGACTGCTTCTACTAAATAAACCAGGAGAAGTGCACTTCACAACCGCGCCGCAGAGGGCCTGGGAAGTGAGGCGGTGTTGGAGCATGATCCCCTCCGCACCCACCGAGGGAGTTGCTGGATGATTACTCTAGAAGCAGGCTGGGACTCATCTCCTAAATATCTAATAACATAAACGGACTTTTCTGTTTATCACCTCCTGCAGCATAAGTGTGCATTTCCTCCCACAAGTTGCCCCTGTAACAGCTACATTTGGGAAGTGACCCCATGATCACAGCCTGCCAAGGACCAAGGTATTTAAACGTCATCGGTTGCTGGTTTTCTGTTTGGGATTAAGTGGGGGAAATCAGGGTTTCTCTAGCCCCCAAACCTGGAACAGAGTCAACAGCAGCACTGCCATGCCAAGGCCCGACAGGCACCAGAAGGACCTTTGGGAAGGGCTGAATGGTAAGGAGCAAGTCTGAGGCCACCTCCATCACCCTGCACTTCCCAAGGGGGCGGCTCTGAGACAGAGGGGAGCAGCACCAGTGCAGCTGGGCACACAGCCTGAGGGCAAAGCACACCTACCGCTGGGATTCACCATGCAGCAGTGGAACCTAGAGGCTCACACATGCTAGGCAAGTGCCTACCACTGAATCCTACCCCAGCCCACGGTATTTTGATTAAGTGGCACACATGACAAAGTCTTTGGGGCACGTAGGGTATTTGATACCTGGAGTCATTAATATTTTTTCACCTCCCTCTATATCTCAAGATCATTTCCCGTGATAATCATGTAATCATCATTACTTTCTTGATTCATTAATTTTAAGACAACAATTTAGAAAGGCTAAACAACCATATTAAAAACATTATCCAAATTTAGTAGAAGATTTCAGGCAGGAACCCAAATGAACTGTTGCCAAGCAAAACATCATGATACCTTGCAGTTCTCACTCCATTTCACTTAGATTTTAAAGACAGATAAAACTCTACATTTTCATGGAAGACAGGGTGGAAGTCACTGGATTCTGTTTCTCCATGTTTATAATCACTTTTATTTCAAAGCAACCATTTAAATGCAAGAATCAGGGATGGGGATTTAGCTCACTGTTGCCATGCCTGCCGGGCAAGCACAAAGTCCTAAATTCAATTCCCAGTACTGGGAAAAAAATGTAAATCTCTGTGCTAGCACAGGGAGTGAGGACAAGACTGTGCCCAGAAACAAGCTCTAATTCTTCCCATCTATCATGCTTTTGGGAATGGGCTTTGGACACAACAGCCTTCAGCTGTGTCTTGAGGACTGGGTGAGATATAATTGCAGGTTCTTCAGATTGACTGTCATATGGTGCGCAGTGTTTATCAGAGGTAAGTAATGAAAAGGTAATTACAGCTACAATTCAAATGCATAGAGACAAATATAATTACAGTAAATAAATAGTAATCACATCAGCTATTTCAGATTTAAACCAATGTAAGATTTGATTTAGGGGAGCAGCACCTTGTACCTGATCTTGTTTAGAACTGTGGGTGCATGGTAATGAGAAAAGGTGGTGGGCTGACTTCAGTTCTGCTGATGTTGAAAACTCTCTGCAGACAGTGCCACCACTCTGCCCCTTGGGCTTCCTCCTGCAGCAGGCAACCACTTGGGAAACCACCCACAAAGAGCCAGTGTAGATCCAGACTCAAGGCTTAGTCACCAAGGGAAAGGCCATGCTCTGGGCCTCGTGGGCTTGGCCTCTCATGTTGCTCACTCAAGTCCCCTCCGCGCCAAGATCTGAATGCTGCTGGCTTGGGGTGAGTGGTGAGAGCAGACCAGGCTACTGCCGGACCTTGCTGAGAACTTAGGGTGCAGCCATCTCATCTCAGCATCGTCACAAACAAAGTGTTTCCCAAAAGAAACAGAGGTATCTCCCCCCAGTGCGGAATGCCATGTGGCTGAGGACCTGCAGTGCCACACAGGACACTGGCCACAGGGAGATAGCATTGGAGCCCATGAAGGGGCTGACTGGGAGGATCCCTGAGCACCTGCAAGGCAAAGCCTGCAGCACGAAGTGAGATTTCCATGGTCTCGCAGGGAAGTGGGGACTGTCACAGGCATCACCTCTGCTCTGTCTCACAGTGGGTACCATTATTGTCAGCTTTAGAAACTCACAATCAGAATGGTTGATCTGTGCTCCCAAAGTCAGGAAGCAAAGCCCTGAGCCTCAGGCTGTACAAGCTTGGGTTTTTCTAAATGAATCTTTGTAGCCCTGAGCAGCACCGGCAAAGAAGAAATGGTGAAATGTACACTAAACATTCTGATGTTAGGCAGCTTGTGAATACACAACCTCTAAGGTGCTAGCTGGTATGATGGCGCACCCCTGGGAGGCTAGGCAGGAGGAACAGAATTTCCAGTCCAGCCTGGCTAACATAGCAACTTAGTGAGAACCTGTCTCAAAATAAACAATGTTAAACAGAAAAGCTGGGGATGTTGTACAGTGTGAAGGCCCTGGGCCTAATTTCCAGTATTACGGGAAAGAAAAGGAGACAAAGTAATCCAGGGG